TGGCGCAGCTCTACTTCCACCTGGCACCCAAGGCAGAGGTTGGCGTCATTGCCAAGGCGCTGGTGCGGCTCCTGCGGAGTCACAGGTCTGTGGCACCCGGGTTGCGGTGGTCTGCTACCCCAGCACTCCGAGTAGTGGGACCCATGGGGAGCCCCAAGACCCTGGGAGAGCCCCCCAAAAAGCCCATCCCTGCAGGGACAGCGGGTTGAGGCGAATTGCCAAAAAAGAGGGCTTTTTGGCCTGGCCCAGTGCAGACATGGGATGGCAGTGTCATGGTCGCACCAGCCTGGTGGTGGGTCCTGCCCCATCTTCACACGATTTGCTGGGGGGGTCCGGCCCTGCCCCACTGATGGTGGTCCCCTCTTTGTTCCCACAGTGAGGTGCAGTACGTTGTGCTGCAGAACGTGGCCACCATGTCCATCAAACGGCGGGTGAGTCTCGGACTCGGTGTGGGAGGAATTGGACCTGTTGACTCCGGAGCGGAATGAGGGCTAGCCAGCAGGGTCACCACGGCCAGCTGCCTGCGGGTCACCTTGGCAAGGATGGGACAGGGGTGGCGCTAACACTGCTGGCTCTGCATGCAGGGGATGTTTGAGCCCTACCTGAAGAGCTTCTACATCCGCTCCACGGACCCCACACAGATCAAGATCCTCAAGGTGAGCTGGAAACACCCGGCAGAACCCATCACTGGTGGCTTTGGGGCTTCATGGAGCCCTTCCCTGTGAGACAGCTGTCCTCCATGCCCTGGGGACAGGAGGACAGCAAGGAGGCCGTGCCCTGGCACCATGCTGCCCATCTCTTCCTCTTTCCCACAGCTGGAGGTCCTCACCAACCTGGCCAACGAGACCAACATCTCCACCATCCTGCGGGAGTTCCAGGTATGCCATGGTCATACTGAAGCCACTGGGGTGCCACCAGTGGCATGGCTCTGGGTGCCAAAACACCACCATGGAGGGGATGGAGGAGAGCCCCACCAGGAGGAGTGGGCTGAGGCCATGCCAACCCCATGGGTAGCTCCAAAGAGCCCCAACGTGTGACCCCCACATGGGGGAATGCCCAGCACTGGCATGTGGGTGACATGTCGCGTGTGTCCCCCATGCCTGCGCAGACCTACATCCGCAGCATGGACAAAGACTTCGTGGCAGCCACCATCCAAGCCATCGGGCGCTGTGCCACCAACATTGGGAAGGTGCGGGACACCTGCCTCAATGGCCTGGTCCAGCTCCTCTCCAACCGGGACGGTGAGTGTACGCGGTGGGGGTGAATCGGGGGCTCCAACGCTCTTGGGGCAGGACCCCAGTGAGGCCGGGTCTCTGCCCACAGAGCTGGTGGTGGCTGAATCTGTGGTGGTCATCAAAAAGCTGCTGCAGATGCAGCCAGCCCAGCACAGCGAGATTATCAAGCACATGGCCAAACTCACCGACAACATCCAGGTGGGTCGGGGCGTTGCATGACCCGCAGGACTTGGGGAGTGGCAGTGGTGCCACGTGCCCGGGGGCATTTTGCAGGTGCCGATGGCGCGAGCCAGCATCTTGTGGCTTATCGGCGAGTACTGCGAGCACGTGCCCAAGATCGCGCCCGATGTGCTGCGCAAGATGGCCAAGTCCTTCACCAACGAGGAGGACATTGTCAAGTTGCAGGTCATCAACCTGGCAGCTAAGCTCTACCTGACCAACTCCAAGCAGGTACCGGGAACGTGGCCCAACAGCGTGCCTCAGTTTCCCCACTGGGGAGGAAAAGGCTGGCCCTGAGTATGTCTTCTGGTGCAGAGCAAGCTGCTGACCCAGTACGTCCTCAACTTGGCCAAGTATGACCAGAATTACGACATCCGCGACCGGGCTCGCTTCATCCGCCAGCTCATCGTGCCCACCGAGAAAAGTGGGGCCCTCAACAAGTATGCCAAGAAGCTCTTCCTGGCCCAAAAACCCGCTCCCATCTTGGAGTCCTCCTTCAAAGGTACCCACCCCTGGTCACAGGGCATGGGGACATGGGGCCAGCTGTCACCATGGTGCTGCATGGCTGTCCCCGAGCTGCTGCCACCTCTCACCCTGCTGTAGATCGGGACCATTTCCAGCTGGGCTCTCTGTCCCACCTGCTCAATGCCAAGGCTGTGGGCTACCAGGAGCTCCCCGACTGGCCGGACGAGGCTCCTGACCCCTCCGTGAGGAACGTGGAGGTGCGTGGAGCACGCTGGGGTGTAGGGTGCATGGGGGTCCAAGGTGGGGGCATCATCTCAAGGTCTTGGGAGAGCCCCAGAAGGTGCCCAGGTGCTGCTCAGCTGCCCCATGTCCCCTCTCTGCTGCCCATATACCCACGTGGGGACCCGAGGGGGGCAAGGGCTGCTGTTTGGGCCACCCACCCATGGGTGATGGCCCCACTCCATCAACCCTGTGCTGGCAGGTTCCTGAGTGGACCAAGTGCACCAGCCGGGAGAAGAGGAAGGAGAAGGTGGAGAAACCTTTCTACTCTGACTCAGAGGGAGAGTCAGGGCCCACGGAGTCGGCTGACAGCGGTGAGGACCCGGTGGCATGGCAGGGCATAGGGCAGGGGCCACTGTGGTGGGGCATCGGGCAGGGGTCACTGTGGCAGGGACATCAGGCAGGTGCCGCCACGGTGGGGCATG